TCTAAATCTCGTATTTTCACTTTACCTGAAAAGCAATGGTCAGGGAGAATGTATTTTTCCCGCATGTACATGTAATCGAGTATCATCATAGGCATCTTAGGTAGTTTTGGCAAACGGAACATGGGTGTGGAATATAACTAACAGTTTTTGAGTACGAATTTTGTAACGAACAGGCTCATGTTTGATATATCTATTGCGATATTCTTAATCATTGCAGCTAATTAGTGTTTGCAGACAGTGCTCAGGCACAAACAAACTTTATGTTCTTAAATTACTGTTCAAGTTAAGTATGATACGGCAAGGACTCAAATCTAAATAAGTATACCCTTAATACATAATAGAAAACATTTGGAAGTGTTGTACTGCAGAAAACGTAATATTATAGGGTACCCTTATATAATTTTCTTACGTTCCTTATCTTATAACTTTTCTCTTAAGATAGCGATATTATCCTTAAAAATACCCATTGAATTCATTTTTATTTTCATCTATCGATGATATCTGTTCTTCTCATCCTCAATTATTGTTATCATCATTTACATTAACAATACGTATCAAATCAGAACCATCAATGAATCATTAAGTATGTTGACAAATAAAGTCAGTATCATCAATTTTTCAATTATTCTCATGATTATCATTATTACCTTTACTTATCAATGAGCATGGCTATCATATTTTTTACTTATTTTTAAGAAAAGAAGAATCTTTGTTTTACACACAACATTATCATAAATATTCATCAAACTTATTAAAGATTACATCCACACAAAAGACACAATTAGCTATTGTATGTAACCTCAAATCGCACGCTAGGATCCATGGCCTTCTACCTCGCTGTTTCTGTCCGATAAATGACGTTAATTCCCTGATATTGTTCCAAAGGCTAGGTCTTTTCAGGGCTGGAGACGTGTCAGACCCCCTACGGACGCCCATTCACGCCCCTGCCAATGATAATGCTCCCTGTGAAGTGCCGAGCTCACTATGTCCTGAGCCTCCTAGATATAGGTAGCGTGGCGAGGTTCATCTCACACGCTTGAGCGAACACCAAATAGACTCCGCGTCCTCGTTCGGTCGCAGAGCGTAGAGTGTGTGTGTGTATTCGTTAGAGGGACTGGCCCATCAGTGCGACGTAGCAAAAGAGGAGGGAAGAAGGGAGTCTGCCTCTACTCTAAACGAATGGCGGGGCGCTGGCTTGTCGCTGAAGGGGCCGCGAGGATCAATATTTGCACGAATGTACTACACATTTTTAAAGCAATAATTTAAATTAGATTTTAATTTACTTCTAACTCTCCAACTCCAACCAGTTCCTTCTCTAAATAAAAGTACAACCAAAAAATAATTTCAATAAATGAGGTGATAATATCGAGTAACAACACCTACGAACTCTAAACTATAAACTCGATCTCACATACCATATTATGACAAAGTCCTCTCTTACTAGACGAATAAATTATAAAGAAGTAACAATAATAAGTTCATACATATTATAATATACATAATAAATCATAATAAAAAATATAATCTAATGAATCCATTATATAAAGTAATACTAACCACTCGAATTATATTTCATCGTCAATAATAGTAAGTATATATATTAGGAGTATGAGCAACTGAGAGAGCAATAATAGAACTTTTCAATCGGAATCAAGTTGGGATAAATCACGATTAACAAACTCGAAGCCATAAAGAGGAGTGCGGACAATTCCTCACCAAACATCGATGCAGATTCCCTGTGTCTTGCCTCGATAAAATACCTGTCGAATCACATTCAGCTTCCGCTTTCAAAAAAAGTAATAAAACCCCATTTAGCCTAGGTGGACCGACTTTCGCGAGAAAAAAAAAGTAAGAGAGAGAGAAATCGATTGAACTCCCTTCAATGAAGAAGGAAGTAGACGACTCCACATAGAAGATAAATCCTCCCTTGGCGCTCCAAACCCGTCCTACCTACTCTCGCGACAATTGCAGAGATCCCTTTTCTTCATGAATCATTATTCCTTCAGCGCAATTTGCAAGCACTCAAGCGAACAATTAATGACCACGCAACGAAGCGCATCAATTAAACAGTGTATCAAGACCCCATGACGGTCCTTGGCTCTCGCATGGGGAGCTCCTCGGCTTTCGGGCTCTCGGGACGGAAGGACAAGGGCATTCGCACACCCCTGGAAGTATGACAAATCGACTCAGAAGCATTGGAGAGAGAAAAAGACGGAAAATCCGAGATGAGATCGAAACGTCACTCAGTTCTTGCATAAAAATATATGTTTCAAAAAGTGAGATGTTTTGATTCCCAAACAGCCACCTAGCGAATCGAATTTATATTTATTCTCTCGTCTCAGTATCACAAAAATACTTGATAAAGAAAAAATGAAACGTGAAAAAGAATGATGACAGGCTGCTGGATTCGCATGCCAGCGATTCACTCTATTACTGACGCACTGCCTCCCCTCCTCCTTCCTGAGCTCGCCTAAACTATGAGCAACTGCAGAGGTACCGCTGGTCCTATGCTGCATGCAGACCGAATCACTGTCAATTTAGAACCAACATCAACCGGCGCTTACTGCGTCGGCTCTATCGACTAGAATGGGACAAATGCAGGAGAAGCCAATAGAGAAGAATGAGAGCAGAGGACGCCAGAAAGCAACGAAAGAACTCGTCACGATGCAGAGAGCGCAGTAGAAGAGATGTGAAGCAATCGGAGAAAAAAGAAAAAGATGAAAGAGAAAGGTACGATAGGAGAGTGAAGGAAGAGGGGAGGAGAGAAGGGTAGGAGGAGAGGAGGAGGAAGGCAGAGGAGAGATGAGAGAGAGATTAGTACCCGGTCACGAGAGGAAGAAGAGAAGGAAGAGTGGTAGAGGGCAAGGAGGAGAATGAGAAGAGGAGTAGGCAGAGAGGACGCAGAAAACGATGGAGAGAGAGGAGCAAGACGGAGATGAGAGAGTGAAGGAAAGAGAGAGAGAGACGAGAGGGGGGGAGGGAGAGGGCAGTGTAGAGAGGAGAGAGAAGAGAGGAGAGACACGGAGGAGTATGGGAAGAATGGCAGACACGACGGGTGGAGGTAGATTAGGGAACGGAACCAATGATAAGGTGGATAGTACATGAGGAGGGATGAGATTAGAGAGAAAAAGAGAGAACGATAGGACAGAGGACACGAGGAACGCAAGGGGAGTATAGGAAAGGGAAGCGGGGATGGGATATTGAGTAACAAAGAGACCCCGAAACAGAGAGAAAAAGGACCAAGACCGGCCGATTCCAGCGGGGATTTCCCAAAGAGGGGTACCCGAGCGATGAAGTAACCGAGCAGTGAAATATTCGGTTCTCGCCCAGCGGATCTTTCCCCGCACCCTTCGCTCCCGGCTTGAGGAGGCGAAGGGAGGGAGGAGAGGGAGGGAGAAAGAGAGAGAGAGACGACGAGAGAGGAGAGATGGAGGACAGGAACGCGGGGCGATAGTGAACAAGATGAGATCGGGGACGGGAGAAAAAACCCGAGAGAGTGAGGAAAGAGGAGGATGAGAGATGAGATGGAAAGAGAGAGAGTCAAGGAGGAGATGAGAGAGAGAGTGAGAGAGAAGAACGAGAAGAGCAAAGAGAGAGAGAGAGAGAAGAGTAGAACAGACAGAAGAGAGAGAGAGAGAATTTTGTGACTGTTAGGTCTGCATCACTGATATCCTACCTTTTTCGTGTCATATTGATCAGTTACTCCCTAGGTTCGGTTGCAAATATATTCTTCATCATATTCTTGAAGAAAGTTTCAACTTAGAATTAGTGTATTGTATTTTTTTTCGGCTGTGCTATAGAAATAACATTTTAATCTATACTTACATCTGAAGCCGATATCATGTTCAAATGAAAATTGTGTGTTTTTTACTCAGTATATATGTGCGCGTTATAAATGGCATATATATATATGATTTATATATATATAATATTATTATATATAATATATAGTAATAGCGTAGAAAAACCCACAATGCACAACTAGATTTATTGAAGAGTGGTAGACATCATGGAATCGTTCCTCGATTCGGTGCCAATATATCATATAGTCTCCGGTATATATATATTAGTGTTATATCTATATATATATATATATTTATATATATATATTTGCTTTTTATTTATACACATGTGTGTGTATTCGAATGTATATATACATATATATGTATGTATGTGAATGTATTAGTCGCGTGTGTTTATACATGAAAGGCTTAGAATTATTCATCTATCTGAAAATGTAAATAAAGAATAAAAATATGTTATATAATAATTATATGTATATATATGCTGTATCAGTATATATATATATATATATATATATATATAATATATATAACACATATATAATAATTTATATATATGTACATTAATGTATCATATATGTGATTATAGTTAATATAGGTATATATAATATATATTACTTTTATATATATACATATATATATAAGTTATATTATATGATATATATATATTTTGTATATTATATATATATGTATATATGTATATATATATACAACATATATAATTTTATAGTGTATATATATGTATATGTATATATATAGGTATATATAAATATGTATATGTATATATATATATGTCATATATATACTATATATTGGTCGTATGGTGCCTGTGAATAGTGTGTGTGTGTGTGTGCTTCTCTCAAATTATTTCGGTTCACTAAGTAAAATTAAAACTTCCACTGATAAAGGGATAGAAATATAAAACGTTTAGGCACAAATCGCAACATTGGTATAGTGCGCTGCAGGCGAATTCACATCCTGTCACTGTTTAGAAAAGACACAATAACATTTTGTGTGTTACAGTATTGGAACTCTATTTAAAGCATCAGCACATTGTAAAATACACGAGAATCGCATCCGGCAAGTTCATACGATGCGCATTTGTTTTCCATGAATGCCCGTTTTCTGTTGATGTTGGGCGTATAGCGCGAGTAGCGTGAGCGCAGGCTGCTGCTGGCTGTAGCTGTCAGTGGTGAATCAGAGTCTGGTGGGAGTGTTCGATCTTTCGACTCCGGCTTCATAGCACGTGTACAATGGGATCTTTAAACATGTTTAGTGTAAGAAAAGAATATTTCTGGATTCTGTTCTTCTATGCAGCACTGACTGGTGAGTACCTTAAAACTTAACATTTTATAAGTAGCATCAAAGTTAGCCGATTAGTTATATATTTTAAATTTGTTCGTAGGTGCCGGATAGAAGCCCTTTAAAAATGGAGGTACGTTGTGATTTAAATGCCGCTTAGGATGCTTTCTGCCGGCTATCGGGCATACATTATTTGAAATAAGAGATTTGGCGCGCCAGACAGAGCTCTGGGCCTGCAGGACGGTCGAGTTGTAGGCTGGAGCTGGTCGCTACACAAACTATTGATTAGGAAACGCCCCGTCTGAGAGAGGGGGAATCCCTTTTGCGTGGGTACTGTCCCGAGCCGATGATCATCTCTTGCGTCACTTTATGACAGAGCGAGACAGTGTCCTTTCCCCTTCCGTCTAGACAGATGGTCTTCCGCCGCCTGTGGGACCTGGGTCAGAGTCCAGCGTCGTCGCGCGCGGACGAGAGGTTCAGTAAGAAAATAATATAGCTTCGTAAAAGTTAGCAAGCTTTCTAAAGGAAATAATCAAACGGTGTGAAGCTGCCCAGAGGCTTCTTTTACACTCGGGGAAAGTTTTGAAATGTGTATTAGGTTGGTTTCGAAATTTTGAATGAATATTTGTGCAACGCGACCAAAGGCCTCTGGAGGAAAATAAACCGAAATAAAATCTGGTGAACAAAGCCAGTTTCATTGTGTGCATGATTTATGGCAAAGCCTCGATATCAGTTGCCAGGTCAAAGGAAAGCGCGGAAAGATCACTATAACGGGGTTTGCCCACGCCAACCCGCGTCTCGCAGGGCAATGGCCCCGAAGGAGTGAAAGAGAAGAGAAAGATAGAGAGAGAGAAGACAACGAGGAAACAAGGAGAAGGGAAATAGAAAATGTGCTGAAATAATACGCCTCGAGGAAATGACGCTGACATGTGAAAGAAACCGTAATTATGACTACGAGTAAATAAAAAAAGAAGAAAAGTAAGAAAAGGAAAATGTATTATTATTTGAAACAGGAAATTATTAAGAGAAAGTAAAAGCATCAGAAAAGTGTGTGTGTGTGTGTGTGTGTGTGTGTGTGTGTGTGTGTGTGTGTGTGTGTGTGTGTGTGTGTGTGTGTGTGTGTGTGTGTGTGCAAGTACCCGCGAGGTTGCTCAGCCCCCTTGCTTTTCATACCGATTATCGATTAGCCCCTTTTCTGTTGGCAGTATCATACTGTTATTGTATTGGCAGATGTTATTTGTTGTGTCAGAGGTCGGTGCCCACGAGACCCCCGGGGTGTGGTAAGGATGGGCAAGGAGAGTCGGGGAATATGACTGGGTGAAAATAAAGAGAAGAGGATTCTTTCCGTCACATGTCCGAGTTTCTGTGAGTTTGCGATTACTGTCATTGTTTGTTATCGATTCGGGTTTGCCTGGAAGTAGGAGAATCGTGTCGACTCTCCGTGCTCTCCATTGAGGAAGGTCTGGAGTCCTCAGTCTATCTACATTTAATGATCGACAAATGGAAAGGTATACTGCCTTACTGTTCATCATTGTCAACAGTTGGTAAGTATTAAGAATGCGAAGTACCGGATTATTTACTTAGCGTATACACTGATAAGGGAATAAATGTAAAAAGAAAATAGATTTATCATGGCAATATCTGGTCTACAGCATTTTTGCAAGTATTTATGACGGCAGGGTAGGACAAATTGTAAAGGTATTTAAAAAGCCGTAGAATATTTGCCAGTGTAAGAAAGTCGTTAATTACCTAAGTATCCCTTTTACCCCATTGGAGTGTATTTCTGAGATGAAGAGTTCGTACAGTTACAAGTCAAAAGTCTTGTAAAAAGATTAATAAATGCATTATGTTTCCTTATAAGCGCCATATAGTGCTCAGTACATTAGATGAAATGTGAATACGTGCTTGGCTTGTCATTTCTGGACAGCGTTCTTCAAGGGCCCGGATGAAATTGGACGAAAGATAAACATGTTGTAAACAAATCTCTACGCTGTCGTTGTGCTTCCTCTCAAATGATTGAATGTTTGTCTATCGAAACTGAGTTTGATATAAGAAATGTTGAGTGGATTATTTTTACTTGTATTACATTGCGACCTTTATTTTTGCACATACATTCACTTGACAGATCCTGTCATTCACTCATTCACACAACCTCACACTGACGGCGTTAAGTACATTCTGAATGGGCGAGCGCACCAACAGTGTTTGCCACTGTATATCGCACAGCCTGCATGTGCGAATACCACCTTTGCATTCCCAGGTAGTGACTTTTGACCTGCTTTGGCTTCCTCAACCTGCAACCTGTTTTGAGGTTCTCGCCTATTATGCGAACTGAGGAGTTTGAATGCAGTGACTCAGCATGATCAGTTGTAGCCATGATTGCAGCCTCCTGCCCGAAATCAAGATCTATTGCATACCAATTAGATGCTGTGTGTCTGTCCCTTTTAGCACAAGTGGTGACGCTCACCTTCAAAGAATAGGCGAAGTCCAATTATATCAGTTGGTCTAATTATGTCATTTAAAGCGCATCAACAGCATATCATTTACAGAACAGGAAGAGAGAGACATCACTTCGCTTGCATGTCGACAACGCGTGGGTTCATTGGCGTCAGTGGCCATTTTCAGTGCACTTTCTTCAACACTCTGTGAACTGCAATTAGACTTTCGTTTCGTGCGGAACGGTGATAATCTCCGAGGGATGCTCGCCTCGGCCAACGTGTCATTATCGAGACCGTTGCGAAGTGTGGGCGTGTGGGTGGACAGGGCGGAGGTTGGTGGGTCGGGACGAAAGTGTGGCGTGGAGGAGGTGTGGAGGCGCGTGGGTCGGCGCGAGCGAGTGGCGTGGAGGAGGGGCGATAGATGTACCCCGCAGAGATACACATGCACTCTGCTTTGGGAGTGTCGGCAGGAAGGAGAGGGAGTGATAGGAGGAAGTGGCATGAAAGGGGTGTTTCAGGCTGGTCGGATAAAGGGGGGCGGGGAGGAGAGCCCTGGCAGATACGAGGTGAAGAGGATATTGCAGAAGGATGGTGTAGGAGGAGTAAATAAATGATGAGTGTGACAGGAAAGAAAGACATGATACGAGGTGAAGGCTTTAGAAAGACAGAAGAGGTGTTGATGGAGTTTTGTCATTTTCATCGATGCAGTGAGTTTCACAGCATGTACGTTAGAAGTAAATCGCTTAAATAAATAATCAGAAGTAACAGACGGCGCGTGGCACAAAGGGGAGTAACCTGAGGAGCCTGGCTTCCTCGTAGCTAATGCCGACGTGTCAAAGATGTACCATGTGTTACCGGCCCGTGCCAGTAAACACTCAACGAGTAAAACGTGTTTGTTTGTCCTGTCCGGGCACGTTTTGCCCCCCCGTCACCCTCTCCCTCCCCTCCTCCCTGGTCCCAGACACAGCGGCGCCACCTGCTACGGAGTATCAGCTTAAAAGAAAAAAAAAAATAGTCTCGTTTTCTGAATTTAATGTGATAACAACTGTTTTCATTTGTCGTGTAACGATCGCTATGTTCATGCCATACCATAAACTTCCCTGAACGGAACAAATGATCAACATGGGTTACTATTTCAGGGTCTATGCCTCATGCTCGTTATCACCTGCCCAGTTATTTGCCAGGGATGTCCACCATTAATTGGATTTTTTTTTACGACTGGTTTGCATTTTGTGCGGGGAATCCTTTCCGAGGATTGGCCTCATGAACAGCTAACCTTTCGGGCTTGGCTGCTAAGAGGGGGGTATTCATTTGCACTGAGGCCAAGCGTTTATTGTGATGACCTGACGGGAATGGAAATGTCATCGCATGGAAGTCTGGCGTTGGAAAGCGACGCGGACCGTGAAATGATCTGCATGATTAGTCAAACAAAAGTCCAGGTGACGTTATGCATTATTCATCCCGATTCAGCCGGGGCCTCACGTAACACACTTGTGCATTCGAATCACGGCGCTGTAACGGCCGCGCGAGACCGTTACAAGAGCATCCGCGCTATCTTCGCCGAGTCCGCCGACGAGAACAAAGAGTGCAGAACGTCGCCGGAATGCCGTCGGGGCCCCGCAGGAACAGGCAGCAGGACGGCGTGTCATCGAGTCCCGCCGGCACCGCAGCGACGCCCTGTGCCCTTGTCTGGAAAGCTACAAGCCGGCGCGCCCGTGCTCGGCATCAGTAATGGCGTCATAGATAACAGCAATGGAAATTTTATACGGTAATTTCCTATGGTACTTGGCTCTTATTACCGTAATAGATAATGGTCTACTCTATGGTTATTGATATGGCCCGTCATTGTTCTCATTTCCATACATACATATATACTTGTACTGTAAAGTACATTTGATTGTTTGTGTATCTGTATACCTATCTGTATGTATATCCATCTATCTATCTATCTATCTATATAAATATTATAATATATATATATTATATATATATATATTATATATATATATATATATATATATAGTATAGTGTATATAAGTGTGTGTGTGTGTTTATGTGTGTGTGTATGTATGTATCAATCTATCTGTATATATGGTACAACACACACGCACACACACACACACACACAACAACACACACACACACACACACACACACACACACACACACACACACACACACACACACACACACACACACACACATACATGTGTGTGTGTGTTGTGTGTGTGTGTGTATGCGTTATATATAAAAATTTATATAGACACATAAATATTAACGCAGATATCAGTTCATATATCATTATCTATTTATTCATCAAATTAATTATCTATCAATCGATATTTCTACTTATATGCCATTCTCTTTATATATGTTTCGAATGTGTATACAATATATAATATATATATATAATATATATATATAATATATATATATATATATACATACATATATACATATATACATACATATACATATACATATACATATACATATACATATACATATACAGACACACACACACACACACACACACACACACAACACACACACACACACACACACACACACACACACACACACACA